GATGGTAAAATAAAAACTTTTTCAGAAAAACTGTACGCTGAGAGAATTCATAACCAGCAGACTGATCCAACAAGAAATGTTAAAGGACATTGTCCAAGTAGAAGGGATAAATAACACCAGATGAAAATAAAGAACATAACATATTTCTTCAACATAAAGAAATAAAAAGGGCCACATTGGTAGTTAAATATGTGGGTAAATATGAAAGAATATTCTCTTATTTTTCAGTTTCTTTAAAAGGTAAACGATGACTTACAGCAAAATGAAAATGTATTTTAGGCACTATATCATATTTTGAAATAAGATCTATGGGCTGGGATTGTGGCTCAGCGGTAGAACACTCGCCTTGCACAGGCAGGACCCAATTCGATCCTTAGCACCACATAAAAAAAAAAATAAAGGCATTGTGTTGTGTCCATCTACACCTAAAAAATAAATTTTAAAAAAAAGAAAGAAAGAAGATCTATAACAATAATAACACAAGGGAAGGGAGGGTAAAATGGAAGCTTTTTAAATTTTAATTGACAGATAATAAGTGTACATATTTGTGGAGTACAGAGTGACAATTCAATACATGCATACAGCATGTAATGAGCAAATGAGAATAGCATCTCCCTTTAAATGGAAATATATTGTTATAAGAATCTTGCATTGTACATGACTCGATGCAACATTATTTAAAGATCCATCAAAAGTTAAGTATTGTAAAGTTAGAAGCAATTGTTAAAAAGATAAAGTGGTACAGATAACAAGGCATTAGTGTAGACAAAATGGAATCCTAAAATACAGTCAATTGATTTAGAAGAAGGTAAGAATACTGAGAAATAACAAAGAACAGATGGGACAAATTGAAAATAAATTAGAAGCTGGGCACAGTGGCACACACCTGTAATCCCAGCAGCTTAGGAGGCTAAGACAGGAGGATCGCCAAGTACAAGACCAGCCTCAGGAACTTAGTGAGAACCCTGTCTCAAAATTTTAAAAATAGTGGGGATTGGGGGTGTAGCTCAGTGTAAAGCACCCCTGAGTTAAATCTGCAGTACCAAAAAAAAAAATTAGAAGATAGATTTAAACTCATACACTGATGATTGCACTCATATTAAAGATCTAAATGGTACAGTTAAAAAACAAAGATTGAGACATAACACCTTTTTTAAAAAGCAAAAATGCCCTATAAAATAACAGGCCCATAATCCTTAAAAGATCACAAAAATCAAGGGAAGACTGAAGGCAATTACAGACTCAAGAAGACTAAAGAGACATGACAACTAAATAAAGCATGTGATTTGAACTGAATTCTTTGGCTATAAAGAATAATGATTGAGGCAACTGGCAAAACTTGAATTAGGAAATGAGATGTAAGAATTAGATGTTAGTAATATATCAATGTTAATTTACATTTTCTGTCCATTGTGGTTGCATAGAAGAATATATCTGTAGAAAATCAGACTAACGTAACATGACTATATCATGTTAGCCTATTTCAGCTGGTGTGGGAAAAAGACATTTATATTGAACTTGGAAATACTTTAAAATAAATTTTATTTAATATTTACAAAATAAATTTTTGACTATATCAAAATGTAAAATTGCTATACAACAAAAAATATTAAATATACAAAGTTAATAAATAAGCCATACATTGTAGCAAATAACAGAAAAAGACATCTAAAGTATATGAGATTATGAACGAAGAAGAAAAAAAAAACAACCACCTAGAAAAATGTGCAAAGCATATAAAAGAAAGGCTCTTCAATGTCTAAAATCTACTCTCAGTAGCAATAAAATTAAAAAAATGAAAAATCATAAGTGACCTAAAAATTTCACAATCATTAGAATGGCAAAAATAAAAAGTGGAGACACTACCTACAAGTGAAGTAACAGAACCTCTCATAAAATGCTCATGGTAGTGTGTAAATGGGTAAATCACATTGGAGACAATATCTAATAAGACTGAAGACCACACATCCTTCTTTGATCCAGCTGATCACCTTTTGGGTTTAAATGCTATGCCAGCTAAACTGGCATCACCTGACAGCTCGGTAAAAAATGCAAAATCTCAACAACAACCCCAGACCTATTCAATCAAATCTACATTTAATAAATCCCCATAACAAAACTTGAAGAGCACCACTTTCAAGAAATTTTGAATGTGAGTCCTTAGAGATATGAGTAAGGATATTTCTTGCATCATTGTCTGACACAGCAAACAGTTGGAAACATACCAAATGTCCCTCAGTATCAGTCAGGATACTTATCCTACAGTAACAACCCCCAAGATCTCAGTGATTTAAAACAACAGTTTAAAACTTACTCACGTTATACATTCATAATAGGTTTACAGGAAAGCTCATTGAAGGTACTCAAAGACTCAACTACCATCTTTTAAAGCTGGCATTTGTTCTGACCAAGGAAAAATAAGAGAACTCTGGAGGGCCATGCACTGGAAATTAATGCTAAACCCAAAATGATCATTTATGCTCACATTTTATCAGCCAGAACCAAAAACATGGCCCAACATATACAAAGGAAGCCAGGAAAAAAAGTAATCCTATCTGRTGCCAATTGAGCTAAAAATATTGGTGAGCAATACTTAAGACAACCACTGAAATTGGGAAGAGAAATATGAAATATTCATATAATAGATAATCATAGAGTAAATAAAATAAACATTCTAGAACTATATACATAAAGAAAATAAGCTCTCTATTGGTATCTAACCCTATAAGGGGAGATATTTTTGTCTGTTTTGTTCACAATAATATCTATTCCCAAYAACAAGAATAATAGCTATGTATTTAATTCATTTTTGTTGAGTGAAAGAATGGATCTCAAAAAACAAGTACTGAGAGGGCTAGGGCTATAGCTCAGGGGCAGAACACTTGTCTAGCATGTATGAGGAACTAGGTTCTATCCCTAGCACCACATAAAAATAAACAAATAAGATAAATGCATTCTCCATCTATAACTACAAAAAAAAACATTTTTAAACAAATATCATGAATCCTCTATGTAAATGTTTTTGAGCACAAAATAATACATGATTTACAGATATTTAAACATGGACTAGGACACACAAAACTATGGTACCTTAGGTAAGGAATGAGACCAAGGAAGGGAACAAAATTTTTATTTGTAGCTTTTGAAAAAATATATCTAACTCTCCATGTCTATATATGTATGTGTGTGTATATATACATACACACATATATTATGCCATATGTAGTTATACACATTATATGTATAAATCAAAACTAGAAAATTAACATCTCCTAATTAGAATAATTCCACCAGTTGGTGGGTTTTTTTTTTCCTCTGTAATTTTATATCTTTACTGAAAGGTTGTTATGGTTTAGATGTGGCATCCCAAAAAAATCACATGTGAGACAATGCAAGAAGATTTGGAATAAAAATGATTASGTCATAGCCTTACCCTAACTAGTGAATTACTCTGATGGGATTAACTGTGTGGTGACTGGAGGCAGGTAGGGTGTGGCTGGAAGAGTGGTTCGTTGGGGGCATAGTTATGGGGTAGATATTTTGCATCTGAAGAATGGAGTCTCTCTTTGCTTTCTGATCACCTTGTGAGCTGCTTCCCTCTACCACACTCTTCCACCATGATTTTCCATCTCACCTGGAGCCCTTAGGAATGGAGCCTGCTGTCAATGGATTGAGACCTCTCAAACTATGAGACCCTTAAATAAACTTTCCCTCTGCAATTGTTCTGGTCAGTTCTTTTAGTTGCAGCAATGGAAAAGCTGACTAAAACAAAGGTTATTTTGGAAATAYTAATGCTTTCATTTCAAATTGATCAGAACTTCTCATAGTTTTCTACCTACATATTTATATGTAAGCRCATCCTCTTGGAAAAAAAGGGAGTCTGGGAGATAATTTGAAGAAACTCAACATTTCCGATAGCTCATGCTTTAGCTTCAAATTTCTTGAGCATTTAGGATTTTTATCCAGTATCTCCAGTCTTATTTCAGTAATAATTATATTTTAACTGCATACTTTTTAACATTCCAAGAAGATGTACTCTGTTTATCCTATTGTTTCAGGCACTCTCCTCACACTGGAGGGTGTCCCAAGGCACAGAGGGTTGGAATGCTTACTTCTATTTTGGGAATAAGAGTCAAAAAGTCACTATAGAGTTTCCTCTGGAATAAAACCAGAAGAAAACACTATATAGGGAAAGAATCCTCTAAATTTAACATAACCTTGTCTTTTATGATGGTTAATTTTATTTGTCAACTTGGCTATGCTATGGTACCCAGTTCCAACATTTTTCTAGATGTTTCTGTAAAGGTTTTTTTTTTTTTTTTTGGGGGGGGGGGGGTAAGATGTATGTTAAATCAGGAGACTAGGAATAAAGAAGATTACCCTTCATAATGTGAGTGGCCCTCCAAGCACAGTTGAAGACTTTAGTTTAAAAAAAATAAAAAGCTGACCTACCCTTAGGAAGAAGGAAGTCCACCAGCAGATTGCCCTTGGACTTATGCTATAAAATTAACTCTTCCATGGGCTTGTAGCTCACTAGCCTATCCTACAGGTTTTAGACTATCATGGAACCAATTTCTAAAACAAATACTTCCCCAGAGATACACACACACACACACACACACACACACACACACACACTATCCTACTGGCTATTTTTCTAAAGAACCCTGACAAATACATTCTTGTACCAGAACTAGGGACTGTTTTTTTCTATGACAATATTAAACTTACAAAACATGTTTCTCAAACCATCACAAAAATAATTACATGTTTTTCCCCTAGACAACTAAAAATCAAACTGTATATATATGTTATCAAACATAATACATGATCATTTGTATATGCAAATAAAGCTAGGATGAATCAACAGACAAAAAGATACAGATGATGTTACAAACTTGTTATTTTTTGAAAAGCAATACCAAATATAGAYCTTAAAAGTAGTCTGAATAACAGAAATTTCAGAAATAATAAAAACTGTTCAAGAAAAAAAATCTTACCTTTTAGTTTTCATCTGGTCCCTCAGTTTGCTGTACATCTCTAGGACTTGAAAGAGAGAAAAGAACACACAAGCATTATTGAGAGAAAATGAAAGACTAATTAAAACTAAAAGAATTGCATCAAAAATCCTACTCCAGTTCCAGTTCCTCACCTGGAAGACACAGCATTAATTTATCAACAGTGGCAGAAATATTTCTCTGTTGTAGTCGACACTGCTTCAGCTCTTCCATTGCTATTACCAGCTTGGCAAGAGGGAAAAAAACTGAATTATGCCAATAGCTATAAATAAAAAGCTTTCAGTCACATTTTTCCACACTGTGTTCAATTCATCAGAAAATCCCAGACAGTTTCATAGTAAGACCTGCCAAGTGGACTAAGGAACTGCCTTTCCAACCAGTAAAACATTCCTGCACAGCTTCCCACTTTCTCCCCAAGATACAGACTACCCTACGAAAGGCTAGATAAAATGAAATCCTAAAATACAGAGTCTGTCCAGGAGGGAAAAAAWTTTTTTTGTATATTTTCTCCAAATCCTTGAGACTCTTCATGATTTAGGAGTTCATCAATCTTCTAAAGAGATCCTAAGTTTCTTTCAGCCATGCTAAACTCCTGGAGGAAAACAATCCTTCCTATACAGCTTCAAATGTGCATGAAAATCATCTTCAACAAAGTCTCTATTTCAACAAATAAACCACACACTTAGAAGATATGGCTTTTTTAAGAGATCCAGTTTAGTGAAGACAAACCACTTTTCTTCCCATCCTAAAGGCTTCTATCTGAAGTCGCCCCATAATATAATCAGGAGAAACTGGACTCTATAGAATCTAGACTATGTGAGACAAAAAACAAAATTTACATATTCACTTGCAGCATTCCTYTCATAGCCATGCCTAAAAATGTTATCTCCTTAAATATCGTGCAAAAAAAGAATGAACAAGAATGGCCCTCATTAACAATCAAAATCTAAACTTAAGAGATTATTAAAATTAAACACTAAATAAGTATTAGGTCATAAGGAAGGGGCACGATACACAGAACAGAAATGGACCATGACTCAGAAAACTTGGGTTTCAGTCTCAGTCTTTCAAATATTAATGTAAACTTCAGCAAATCCCCTGTTCTAGTTTCTTCATTAATAAAATAGTGATAACACCTGTCCTGACTTTGTCATTGGTATGCATTAAAAATCCGGTAAGGAAATGGACACAAAATAACAATGTAAATGCAAAGGTTTAAATAGTGGGTGCATCAATGAAGAGAGTAATGATTCATTTTTTAAACACTTTCTGCCAAAAAAGTGTTTAGTAGATGGAAGGAATACAATAAATAAGATAAAAAAAATTTCTGAACACATGAAGCATAATTTCTACTGGAGGGAGACAGAAAGAAAGAACAAATACATAAGTAAAAATATATATCAAGAATATGAGAGCTGGGGATGTAGCTCAGTGGTAAAGCGCTTGCCTGGCATGTGTGAAGCTCTGGGTTCCATCCCCAATACCGAAAAAAAAAAGAGAGAGAGAGAGAATATGACAGTATAATAGAGAAGAGCAAAGTGGGAAAAATATAAAACGATTGCAGGCAATGAAGGTGAAACTATAACTTCAAATAAGGTGGTTAGGAAGGTTTTATTAAGAAGGCAATATTTTAAAATGCATCAATTTAAAAAAAAAGGTGATAAGATTTGAGAAAAGATTTGAAGTATGTGAATATTGGGGACGGGGAACAAAACATTCCAGGAGGGAGAACAGCACTGGCCACATTAGGACCATTCAGTGACTTAAAACACATCAGAGACAGGCTACATACACTCTCATCACACTTTGTAGTGGCTAAATTCATTAAATTCAGAGAAATACTAGAAGAAGCAACAATAATGCCCAACTACTTTCAACATGCTGCTTATGGTCTTACAAGCCCACTAAATGAAGAACAGTCATCAAAAGAGAATGGCATGAAACAAAAGCTTGGTCAAAAGATAAACTGGCCTTACTTCCTTTCCCTCATGCTGTAGTTTTCTATTAGTATCCGTCACTTGATTCTGTGGAGAGAAGACAATTTAAACTCATAAAAAAAAAAAAACACACACACACACACACATTTAGACAACAGTTGAATAAAGATCAAATTTTCATGTGAAAAGACTCAGGTAGCTAGATAGTTCAGTATTCTATCATATGTTGGTCATGGGCATTCTCTTGAATTTAAATGACATCAACTTTGCTACTGGATCTTTTGCATGACCTTTTGAATAATGAAAAGAAAATTTTACAGATATCTTTAGTTTGAAACATCCAAACTAAGATACAATAATGACCAAAGATCACACTTTAACTTTTAAAAGAAAAAAAAAGAAGAGAGAAAAATATAATAGAAAAAGTAACCCACAAAGAATCTTACCAAGAAAGAACAAATTTTATCATATATATTCCTCACCTCATCAATGTATTCCTGAAAAGGCTCGGTATAAATTCGATTTTTTAACTCAAGTCAATTTTTCTGTGTTTATTATCCTAATTTTAGAACATGTTTTTATCTTAGTTCTTTCTGGATCATTAATTCTTTTTTAAAAAATATTTATTTTTTTTAATTGTAGTTGCACACAATACCTTAATTTATATGTGGTTCTGAGGATCGAACCCAGGGCTTCACACATGTTAGGCAAGCGCTCTACCATTGATCCACAACCCCAGTCCCCTGGATCATTAATTCTTAATAGCTCCCAACAGCTCCATATTCTCCTTAATCTCCCATTCCAATGATCAAAATATGTGATTAAATCATTGAATGACCTATATATAGTTTATAATTTAAAGGAACAGGCACATCCTCTTACTAATCTACTTTTGATGTCTACACCCATGTTAAAAAATTAAGAATATAACATCTTCATCATCTCAGACCTTATCAACATTGGTACTACTTACACTTTTACTGCACTCTTCAACCCAGTTTTTCCTATGACATTCCTTGTGCACATACGCACACAAACATGCATGCAAACATGATATAACATGCAGTATAAATGCCCAAGAAAAGTATATCATATGGAGGGTTTTACAAACTTATTTAACATCCTTTTATTCAAGATCATCTCAAGGAACCAGTTTTTCAGAAAACACACTTTTTTAAATCATTGCCCTGAATTGTACTACATGTCCAGAGCAGATTACCATATGCATTCTGCTTCCAAAGACAAAATGAAACCCAACCTTCCCCAGAAATCCTTTATAAAGTATCAGAAAGAGACAAGAAACACCAAATTACCTCTTTATTATGTACCTAATAGCACCACATGTGAAATAATTTGTTGTTTTATTGAACTGTGAGCTCAATATGAATTAAGGGTGTGATATAGCTGCCCAAAACTCATATCTAAGGCATTAACAGAAGTATTGTCAACAACAGTAGTTAAGGACTAGGGTTGTGGCTCAGCGGTAGAGCGCTCACCTCTCATGTGAGAGACCCTGGATTTGATTCTCAGCATCATATAAAAACAAATAAATAAGATAAGGATATTGTATCCACGTATAACTAAAAAAAAAATTTAAAAAGTAGTTAACTGATAATTAGCTGGACTTTTAAAATCCTATACTGAGGTCTTCTAAATTCAATCCTCCATGAAGACAACTAACTCAGCATCTTATTTCTTTATAACATACTCAATGTAAAAAATACAATGTACACTGCAACTCAGTACACAAGTAGGGAGCATATGCATGCACACATGCATACATGTACACACACATAAACTGAACAATTTTCAAGAAATACTGTTCACCCTTGCTACATGTAATACACTTTTATTTCTACTCAATGCTCTTCTCTTTAATTTCAATTTTTGTTAAAAAAAAAATACTGATCAAAGCTCACTCAACTGATTTCATGCAAACCCTGGTCTAAAACATACCCATAAGCACCTAAGCAATGCTTCTGGTAAGAAATATAATAATTATTTCAATAAGTATTTCAATACATTACAATGAAAAGAAAATATATCAACTATCTGGGATGATTCTTTTTTGATTCAGAAAATATAAATGTGAGCATACACATACAAGTATATTCTTTCTGTAAATCAAAGGAAATAATGGGCATCCTAAAGTGTACATTTTTTTTTCACTGTTATGTTAAAATGGTAATGGAAGTCATCAATACTTAATCAGCTCCATCTTTTAAACTCTTTTCTAGAGTTTAGAAAACTCTACATTTCCTAGGTTCTTAACCTAGGTCTAATGGATCCCCTAAGTGCAGAGCCKACCAGGTATACAGCTGAACATTAATATCCAGAGACATCACAGTAACTGGGTGGGAGCCTGAATCAGCCAAAAACCCTGCATCTAGTTCAGGTGTTCCTTCAGAGGCATCCTAACCAATCTGGAGAAATTTGTAACTTGAACCAATCTGAAATAATTGGACAGAAGTAAGAGGAAGAACAGAAGAGTACCAATTAGCAAGTGATACCAATAACTAGTGAGCATAGTTATGGGCAATGTTTACTACTAGCTGGCCAGGCAAGTATYCCACTACATGGCCACCTCAGTATCCCATTGCCCATCATGGAGCACAGTCCTAAAGAAACTGTGAGAGAAACTTGGGATACAGGTATCCACCGTGCACAGAAAAGAACAGCCCAAGACGAGGACAGGAAGCTGGGGTGGCTGAGTGAGCCCAAGGAGCACATTAACAACAAATCAAAAGACTGTTCATTCTTGGGTGGAGGAAGCCACTAGAGAGGTACAAAAGATAAATTAAATAATTTGGGCAATATTCTATTTCTCAAGATGGATGCATGCTTCTATATAGGTTCATGAACTCCTTTTTAAAACCTTAGGACCACTGGGTACAAATACACCTGTAATCCCAGTGACTAGAGACGYTGAAGCAGGAAGATCACAATTTCCAGGACAACCTCAGCAGCTTAGCAAGGCCCTAAGCAATTTAGAGAGACCCTGTTTCAAAATATAAAATAAGAAGGGCTAAAGATGTAGCTCAGTGGTTGAGCACACCTGGGTTTAATCCCCCCCAGCAAAAATTAAAAAATAAACCTTAGGGCCTGATGTGTTTTTGACTTCAGAATTTTGTAGGTTTCATAAAGATAATGAGGTACACGTATATTATAATATCCCCAAATGAGGACCAACTCAGCACCCCATAATCAAACATATTCATGTTTCTGTAGCAAAACATAATAACCCACAATAAACAGAGTAAATTAAGAAATTTGATAGCTTCATGTCCATTTAGGTCATGTTTTTGCAGTCAGATGAATTTTTAAAATACCTTAGCTTTAGAATAAAATTTAATAACTCATAGCCCATTTTACCCCTCAATAAAATTGTTTCTTTGCCTTTCTCACCAATGTATCCTTTTATTTATTTATTTAATATTTATTATTATTTTAGTTGTAGTTGGACACAATATCTTTATTTTATTTTTATTTGGTGCTGAGAATTTAACCCAGGGCCTCGAACGTGCTAGGCGAGTACTCTACCACTAGCCACAATCCCAACCCACTAATGTATTCTTTTAGATGAATTTTATACTTACTGTCAAATTAACCTCATGTCCAAGAAAATCCTTTAGGATTATAATTCAAAATCAAGTAAGAAAAAATAATTAAAAGCATAAGCACTAGAAAGAAAAAATAAAACTGTTACTACTTACATATCATATGCGAAGTATTTTCATAAAAACTCAAAAAATATAAACATGTACTATTTGACATAATAGAAGAGTTAGTAGGGTAGTTAGATTTAAGATCAATAAGCAAACTCTGGTATACAACATAAGGGAATTTGCCATGCAAATGACCAGACCAATGTGCCTAGACTCCTTCCCAATTTGTCACAGCAAGAAAGCATCGTCACCTTCTGGTAGGAGACATTCCACAACAACCACAACTCTTTTTATCCTTGGCCTAGGTGCCATATTGCAAATAATCTTACAGCAATGCCCCATAAATTCTGTCATCCTACAGAGATGGCTATATCCATCAAGGAACAACAAAACTCTTACATTTCTGTTTGAAAGAAACAATTACTGATCACTGGTTCTGAACCATGTATAGGTTTCCCAATTAAACTCTAATTTAAAAGGGTATCCTTTTTAGCTAATGGACATGATCTCAATTATCGAGGTTTCAGTATAAATTCCTTTCTTACTACACAAAAATCCTTACCACAAATACATGACCAGCAACATAATCCCATAGACTCCTTACTTTGAGTTTCTGGGCTTCTCCTCTCACTTTCAGCAGTTCAGTAATAGAGTCCACAAAGCCTTGGTAATGAAAGTTGCACATTTTCTCAATTTCTCTATCATGATTACGGATTCGAGTTTCAAGCTTCTCCATGAATCGTCCATGTTCTTCACCATCATAGACAGACCTTTAAAAAAAAATGGCATGGAGATTATGTCACATTTGCTCCTATTTATTTATTTACTTATTTATCCTCCACCCCAACCCACCCCATGCTAGGGATTGAACCTGGACACCTGCGCATGCTAGGCATGCACTCTACCACTGAGCTACAACCTCAGCCAGGTGTCACATTTACTTCTAAGAAAAAGAAGGAAAAAAAAAAGACTACAAACCCAAAAGCAAATTTCTTTAGAAATTAGATATTCAGGGTATGTAAACCACAAAGTAATCCAATTGTATTAACACTGTCTCAATGTTAACAGAGTATTTTTCAGGAAAATCCAAATTTTTGCTTTCTCTTTACTGAARCACAACCAACCATGCTAGCCCTGCAGGAATATGGAGGGCAGCCACAATGGCAAGGCCGGCCACCTTGAACCTACTGCTCAAGGCTCAGGAGCATCTGCAATTCCACCTACAGAGATAATTCTGGACTTCCAGGCAAAAACATCACTTAGAGAACACTAGAGAGGAACCAGAGACAAGGAGGGAGATAAAATCTTTGCTTTCGCTTTTTGGAGGTCAGTTTGTCAATAGTCAGGCAACTTAGGGGATTTTTAGTATGCCCTCTGAAGATACAAGACACTTAATAATATGGACAGTGGGTGCCAAGTCTATATATGGGGTCACRGAAGATCTCCTGAAGAGGTGTACAGTTCTCTTAAAATTTACCCTGAAGAGATAGTTCCATTTCTGCATTCAGACTCTACATATAAAGATTCACACATTTAATAAAACGTTGACACAGAAGAAAAAGTCAAACGAATAGTCCCCCTTTGCCAAAGTCTCGGCTTGGCACAGAATCACGAGCCACCACACACCTTGTCGATTCAAACAGCAATCCTTTATTACCAAACTCACACCGCCTCCACACAGGGTCAGCGGCAATCTAAAATCTCTCCCATTATTTATAAGGGGAGTAAACAAGGACAGGGTAGGGACGAAGAGCTTGAGAAGAAGATTTACATTAAACAGGGATGAGAGGTGGGAGGGAAAGGGAGTGAGAAGGGAAATCGCATGGAAATGGAAGGCGATCCTCAGGGTTATACATAATGACATATAAGAGGAAAGGAGGGGTAAGACAAGATAATACAAATCGAAGAAATGATTTACAGTAGAAGGGGTAGAGAGAGAAAAGGGGAGGGGAGGGGAGGGGAGGGGGGATAGTAGAGAATAGGACAGACAGCAGAATACATCAGACACTAGAAAGGCAATTTGTCAATCAATGGAAGGGTAACTGATGTGATACAGCAATCTGTATACGGGGTAAAATTGGGAGTTCATAACCCACTTGAATCGAATTGTGAAATATGATGTATTAAGAACTATGTAATGTTTTGAACAACCAACAATAAAAAAAAAATTAAAAAAAAATAAAATAAAATAAAATCTCTCCCCCCAATTTACCTACTCCACGAGGCTTTTTCCAAATCCCATTTGAATCTCACAAGAACTCAACGGGAACAAGCAGCAGGAACACCCTAATCCCAGCAGCAATAATCTTCAACCTCCAACTTCCCTAAAACCCCTACTGTCTTAAAGCGGGAACGCCTTAAACTCAAGGAGCCGGAAACTTCCTCAAACCTGATCAGCTCTAAACCCGGATCCACCCTGGTCTTTGAGCAAGGTCACCTTATTAAAGCATACATGCAWTGTCCCATCGAATGTCCTCTAAGCAGCATGGGGTACGCTGGCAAGRAAATTTCCATGCGTCATTCCTACTTGGCAATGGCCCTCAGCACCCCTTAAATTTCTGCCATTTAAAGGAGAAATGAACTTAAAGAAACCATAACACATATTCTCTATTTTGGAGGCTTATGGTTTGGACCTAACTGCATCTCTGAGAACCCATATATTAGATGAACAGAGAGAGCTAATTGAGTCACACAGTGTTAAAAAGAGACAATTTACTAGAAATACAAATATGGATGAAGGTTTACCTCTCATCATGGCAAACCATGAAAAAAGTGAAAGAAAATGATTCTGTTTTCAATCCATTTGATGGAACAGGTGGCCTCCTGATAGCTTCTGCTCATTTTAGTGCATATATATGTATATATGAGACAGACATAGACTACAATATAATTCATGGGTTCATAAAGGCTAACAGGAAAAATCAGAACTGGAGAGGACCACATGAAAATAATAGAGCAAATTTTCATCAGTACATTTACAGAAGTATTCCCTGTACGTCCTGGTTTCAGATGTATCTAAACCTTCCTGCAGGAAGGAAACACATTTTGATGCTATTATCACTGATCTTCCATATGGTATCAGAGAATCTACAAAAACACAGAAAGAAATACCAAAGAGGGTTTAAAAAAAAAAAAAGAAAAGAAAATAGAAAGTTCAGAAAGCCATGTTCCGGTTTCATTGAGTTATCACCTTAGTGGTATGTTTTTGGACCTGTATAACTTTGAAGCTAGACCATCATATTAGGTGCAAGATTAATCTATTGGTTACCACTGTATATATAGAAGAGTTTGCTGAATAGATGGTTCCCTGGCACTCTTGCCTGAAACTCATCAGCAACTGTGAGCGGAAGCTTTCCAATCATACATCAAGGCACTTGATCACATGAAAAAGGTGAAGAAATTTGAGAACCCAGACCAGTATTCACATCTGCTAAGTGACCATTTTCTGCTGTACAAAGGTCATAATTCCTTCCATGATAACTATTTCAGAATAACAAAAAAAAAAAAAGATCAAGGGAGAAAAGTCCAGCCAAAAGTGAAATTTGAAAATTTTGACAATGAAGAAATATTAAATATTTGGGRAAAAAAAGACATCTGGAAGTGAAGTTTCATGTATAATTAAGAAAACACGTACTATTTTTTTATATTAAAAAAATCTAAGAAATAAATTAAGCAATTTAAAAATTGTCTTTGCTTTTTTTGGCTATTTTGTCATATGTTATAAGGTCTTCTGAACTTTATTTGACTTGCTGTATTTGTACTTTTAAGTACTAATGGAGATCAACTCAACAGTTTATTTTTTTTTACAATTAATTTACAAAAAAATAATATTATTGACATATCTACCAGATACATTATAGGCAATTAATAGTGGTTAAGATTTATTCATTTGGTAAATTGTTTAGTTTGGTTTTTAATTGTAACTAATTTACATTGCTACAAATAAACTTTACTAAGAATTTCTTTTACAAAATATATTTAACAGTATTCATCACAGAATCCTCATCATAAAATGAAAAGACTAAATTACAACTCCCCTGTCCCCTCTTCTTTCTCAATTTAACTAGTCTAGAAAAGGTCAATTTTGGTAAACCCAATTATCCAATAACTACTCCATGACTAGACCCAAGAAACTGAACAATGCTGAAGAAAAATCACAGAGCTGTGCTGACTAGACTCAGTAAAGCTATAAAGCTACAAATCTAAATTAGACACTCAGTACCACTAGAAAATCCTACTTACYACGGTCTGAGTCTGCCTTATCAGTAGGGTTTCAGATTTCACTTTWAAAAAAAAAAGTTTTAGAACATTTGTGTAATGCAYTATGAAGTAATGGAGAAGGGACTCAAATCTAAATGTAACATTCATTAATGTTTCAAATATACTTTATACACCAAGGCTGAAAGTAATTTTACACAATATTTTTATTGTATCRGTGTTTTTGTTTTTGTCTTGTTTTATTTTTTTGTGTTGCTTGGGATTGAACCCAGGGTTTTGTGCATGCAAGGAAAGCATTCTACCAACTGAGCTATATCCCCAGCCCTGTATCAATGTTTTGACTTCAATTAGTCACATTAGGTCAGGAATGGAACTTTCTACTTGTGACATCTGTGGCGTGCACACTCATAAAGTTTTGAATATGGGAGCATTTAAAATTTGGGATTTTCGGATTAGGGATGCTCAGCCTCYACAACTATTACCACCACCACCCCACCACCACCAATTCACTTTGTATCTAAGTGTGGGAACCTTAATTTCTCCTTTCCTCAAATGTTTGCCCCTTAACTCTCAGTTACTGACCTTATTTCATACTTTACAGAAAAGAAAAAAAAAAACAGACATAATGAAATAACTCCTCCTCCCCGCTGAAAATCAACCAGCCTACTTACATCAGTACCACTTACTATGTCCACCCTCCCACAGCAATGGAAGCTGTGTTCCAAGCTCTTGCCTGCAGTTGACCTTTCTCATTGTCTCAAGGACATCACTCCTGCAGTAATCCCCTTTATCCTTCCTCTGCATCCTATCTTTCTCCCCCTAGATCATTCTCATTTGTATATAAATGACTTCTTAAAACCTGCCCCACCCATCCCCCTCCAGTTACCATCTCCTTTTTCTGCTGCCCTTCCAGGTAAGTCTTTCTCCTCTCCTCACCCCCTTACTTTTTACCTTCCTAGACTTATTCCTTGTACTCCACCTACTAGCAGCATTGGCTAGGGTTTGATATTCTCTTCTTTAAACAGTCCCTTCTGTAGATGTCAATCATACCACCTTTCACTGACATGCCCTCTCAATCTCCCTCTTAGCTCCTCTGCCACTATTACATTTCTAAATATTCCTAAAATCACTTCTCTTCTCTCTATATGCTCTCTCATGCAGTCTCATAGCTTTAAATACCATCTATATAGTGCTGACTTCCTAATCTATACCTACAGTTCTGAGYACTTCCCTGGGCACTAGACTCAAATGTCCAGCTTCTACTTACTAACTCCAACTGAACTTTTAAAACCCATCTCAAAGCTAACACAGGAAAAAAAAAATTATTACCAACCTATTTCCACTTCCAAACCTGTTCCTCCTCCAAACTACCCAACTACTCCATCACAACTAATAGCACTATCTAGTTGTCCAAGTCAAATATCCAGTAGTCACTTCAAACCCATCTCGTCCCATCCTCACCCCCATCCACTCGACTGATAARCCTGACAATTCAACTTCTAAAACATATCTTAAAATTGACCAAATCCCACCAATTCTTTCAAAACCCAAG